GAGAGGCTCACTTACAGAGAAGGAGATACATTAACACTAGCCTTTGTTCAGCAGTCTAACTTATGCATAATTTCCATGGTAACCAATCACTGTAGCTAGGCAGAGAGGCGACAAATCATTTATTTACCTAATAGAGGAGTATGTGTTATTTCTCAGTAATTTAAATATCATTTATAATTAGAAATAAAATTAATAAACATTTGTAATTTAATATATAATTTAATAAATATATTTGAATATTACTAATATATTTGAATAGCTAGCATTTCACTAAGTAACGTGTAGACAATAAGCAATGATGATGAGAAAAGATCTTCACAACGGTAACAGTGTTTTACTCTATTCTGACCAAAAACAGTTTTGGGAAATCAAGTTGTTATCCATGAGGATTGTAAAATGACAGCAGAACACACTGCAAGCAAGGAATTGTTCTGGAAATAACACTGAGAAATGTGGGAATTGTTCTCGACCCGCTGCAGTACTTAATGAAGCATTAATTATGTCTATGCATATAGCAATTAAAGATGAAATCTCACTTCACATTTAAAACTCGCTACTTGTTCACTGATTGCAGTGTGCAGGAAAGAGTGATGCTGAGTTCACTTAAGGTCAGGGCATCGGCCACAGCGATCTGGATTTGTTTGATCTAGGTAGACAGCTTTCGTTGCTAGGATATTTGCACAGCTTTGTTAATAAGGCTTTTGCTTCAAGTTCAATAAACACAAGGACTCCTCCAATGGAGACACATTAACACCAGCATTTGTGAAGCCATCTAACTTGTGCATGGTTTCCATGGTAACCAGCCACTGTAGCGAGGCAGAGAGAAGACAGCTCGTGTTTTCACAGGGCCACGGATTCCGTGTCTGATTCACACAATGTGGGTGTACTGTACTATGGAAGAGAGTGTGTGTGTGTGTGTGTGTGTGTGTGTGTGTGTGTGTGCATTTGCATCAAGACATGCAGAGAGATGGGCAGATTCCACATAGGTGGGCAGATAGATGATAGGCTGAAGGCTCGAGTTTAGTGATGTCACAAAACAAAACAACACCTTCTGTGAATGGGACATTTAGTTAGCTTTGCTTTTATACACAATCAGATTGGAATCAGTACAGTTTGATTTTTCAGAGAAAGGAACTTCATTTTCTGCTTATTCTTATAATCTCTAAATTCTCGTAATGGTCAAGAAAACTATGTAAGAAATAAAACACGGATAGCTTACACTCTCAAGATTTTACGTTCTTTACTGTTTCTTTATGACTTTTAAAAACTATCTGGCATAATCTGAGTATTTGAAGTAGAGATTACTTCTTATATTCAATCAAATTAAACATTTTTAAATTGAAATCAGAATTGGTAGAAGAAGCATATTTAACAACTTATGGAAAAGTAATCATAAAATTTATAGTATATAAAATGATAGTGACATGATCATCAATATTGATTTTTATAGTTGGCCTCTAAGATAGTTCCCAGGGCTCCCTGCCTCCTGGTCCTTATGCCCTAGTGTAGGATAATTCCATACCCTACCAGGGTTAGATGTAGTGATGTACAGAGTATGATAGAAGCGACAGTCTGTGAGCTTCAGGGTGCACTATAAAAACACTGAAGCTCTATACTGGTGTTCTTTCTCTTGCATAATTTGTTTTGACCGAAACCAGTTCCCATGTCATGTGTGGACTTATAGAGAGAACCTAATGCTGAGAAACTGAGGCTAATTCAAAAGAGATTTTGATAACAAAATAAACCTTAAACTTGGGGAATGGTTGTAGAACTTTAGAACAGTTTGAACCTATATAAAAAAATGAGGAAGGTGATTTTTTTTAAAAGCATAAAATGTCTACAATTTGTAAATACAACTTCTGAACTTTGAGTAAGCTGCTGGTGGAGCAAAAGGATGCTGCTGAGACAGGGGGATGAAAATTTGCTCTGTAGATGTGGGACTGAGGCTACATTGGTATGAAAGTTACACAAATGTGCCTAACAAACTCGGTGATCTAACGAAAGACATGTCCAGATGTCTAAAGACACCTACTTGTTTCTGTCTGCTGGTTACAGTAAAGCAAAGGAGAAGAGACAGGAAGTTTTAAAAAATTATTAAAGATTTGTAATATGAGGCATAATAATAATGAAATTTCCCAGTTTTCACAGAGAACAAATAATACTAAAATTAAAAAATGATGACTGCAAACATAAAATCCAGGGACCTGTTAAATAAACACAGTCTAAAGATCAAGGAAGGGTGAAGATATACAGTTACTTGTTAAGACTTTAAAGTAATATAAGGTCATATTTCAGAATACTATGGAATCTGACAAAGGCCCTCTACAAATTTTGACAGTATGATGCAAATATATATGTATAATATTTATAACTATATAAAATGCATAATACATACACATATAGTATAATAAAATATATATGCAGATATTATATATTATATTTATAAATATATATTTATATATGTATGATAGCATATATATAATAATCTATTATTAACCTTATATTATCTGTTACATAATTTTATGGTATTATATAATTTTATTGGTGCCATACCCATAGATAAATTATTATTATATAATTATATGATATATAATTGTACATTATCTATTATACAATTTCATAGTCTATTACCATTATATAATTATCTTTTATATGTGCATATATAATGACTTATAAGAAAATTATGATTATTATTCTTCAAAAGAAGTCTAAAAGATGGGATATGCAAATGTGGATTTTGTCTATTCAGTGGATTTTAATAAAATTCACAGTGAACATATATAAATTTATGTTATATATGTTCATTATATCAGCAAAATTACTTCCTGAGACATTAAAAATTGAAAGTGACTCTCAAGTCCCCTCCCCCAAATGTTGGTTGCAGGAAATAAACTGTGAACATATGCTGCCTTTCTGGGAAAAGCAAAGTTGACTTAGCGGATAGAACCGATGGCCAACAGAGACCAATGGCCATGGTCAAAGGGCCTCCGCCACTGTCAGCGTTAGAACTGCTATCAGCCAGTGCATCCCACTTCTGGTTCAGTAGCCATGTCCAAGTCAGGTATCTTATGCCTGCTTTACCACACTTGTAGTTCCACACCATTTGTCTCCTTAGCCATGGGCAGTTGGAAGCAGTACAGTGACCGGACATGTGCAGGGCATACAAAGAATGTGTGTGTGCTGGGCGTAGAGATAGGCACTAGTAATAGTTGTAGAAATATGAACAGGAAAATGGTAATGATTTGAATTTTTTTAAAGTAAGATACCTGGGACCATGGTAATGCCACGTCCTAAAATAGAAACCAATGGATAAATGCAGATGTGCCAAGCCTGCAAATATAAAGACTCTGGCATTTTTCTTCACGGCTTTATGTTTTCAGTAAGTCTAGAAAAAACTCAAAAACAATATACCTAAACAATCTGGTTTAGGGCTAGGTAGAGATAAATTATTTAAAAACCACTAAATAAAAAGGTGAACCAGATACTAGGAGATACCTGTGAATTATTTTTCTCTAATAAAAGATTTTAGGCAGAATATATTAAAGATTATTAAAAGTGAACACTTAGATACCCCCTATTAAAATGTGGGAAAAGTCTGAGTAGCCCTTTAATAAAAGAGTGCCTCTGAATAGCTCATAAGTGTATAAAAACATCCTTAACATCCTTAGTCATTAGGGAAAAGAAAATGAAAGCCACAGTCAGATCCCATTTTACACTGACTAGGATGACTATAATAAAAAGAGGAAAAGAATAAAGATGTTTCTGAGGACATGAAGGCCCATATATTGCTGGGGGAGGGGTGTAAAATAGTGCTACAAGTTTGGAAAAAGAGTTGTTAGTTCTTTTCAAATTTGGGCATAAATTTGCTACACAACTCGGCAAGTCTACTCAAGGCTGCCCATCCGTGGAATGGAGACTTGTGTCCATAAAAGATTTAAGGGAATGGTCACAGCAGCATTACCCATAATACACAAAACATGGCCATAAACTATCCGCCCAATGGTGAGTAAAGAAAACTGATAAATTTGTCCAAGCTAATGATATTCAGCAATAAAAAGGAATGATGTGCATAGTGAAGTACATTAAAAAAACTCAAAAACATTACTAAATCAAAGAAGGCAGATGCAGGATACCATTCCCTGTGTGCACAGGGCCTAAAAATACAACCCAAAGCAGACAGAAAGTGTGACAGAGACTTTCTTAAGTCTGTGTGGGAAAGGGAGTAACCACAACTGAATCTGATATAAATTTTTTAAAACTGGATTTTGGTGATAATTGCACAAGTTTGTAAATATACCAAGGAATGATTAAAGCATTAACATTAGCAGGTTGATTTTATGGTGTAGAAGTTATTTCTCAATAAAGATACATTTAAAACTTCATTTCAAAGTACTATCACCCAAACAACAATTTCATTGGAAAGTAGAAAGAAATACAGAGATTGCCGTATAGTATATGGCTCATTAGGTGAAGGGGCATATTTGTGAATCTAGGTATCCACAATTCCTTTAGGGAGGAGGAAGAGGTAGACTAGCTTGGTTCTTCCAGAAGGAATTTGCAAGCAGATTAATTTGTTATGTTCACAAAATAACAGGGAAGAGATAAAATTTTTAAAAAGTAGACTTATCATTTCAAAGTGTTTTAGCAACACTCATTTCACTACAGGGGTTTACTGATACAAAGTGTTCTTAGCCACTAAAGCAGACTCTTAATCATGACTGCAATGTAAGCTTCTTATAATATCATTGGGATTTCTGCATTTGGATATTTAGCTCAGGCATCTCACTAAATCTGACGTGTCTTCCTACTTCCAGCATGATTTGTTAAAATGAGGGGCACTTACAGTTGTGCTTGTAAATAATAATTTATGTGTTGGATAAAACAGCACACATACAGAACACACATCCAGATTTTAAAGAATGAAGGCTGTAAAAGTAGCTAGAATACAGTCTAACCTTCAATAGTTAGGAGATATTTCATGTAGCCTTCTGGCCAATTACCTTGAATGTGATGGGCCTCTTTCCTGGGAAGTTTGGGAGGACAGGCTTCCATCAAACGAGTTTCCCTGGTGGCAGCCAGAGATGGTGGCCTTGGGTGAGATGGAATCAGACTGCAGTGCTTCGCTGACCACCTGAAGTCCCTTTGGGAGGTGAGACAGGAGATTAGGTCCTTCCCTTGCTTAGGCAATATCCTCTAGAATTACCTGCTTTATGCACACAGTCACATGAAGAGTTCCTCTGCAGCGTAAGCGATCACAGACCTAGAGACTCTTTGTCTAAAAGGCAATGGAAATAAATTTCTAGAAAAACTGGTGTCATTCCAAGCATGAGGCTTAACTATTTTATAAGTTTTATTCATTTTGTCCTTCATTGTTTTTTTTTCACTTCTATGTCCAGCATCTGCACCATTAAAGTTATGAAGCCCACAGTTCAGCAAAGACATGTCACCAAGAAGGACAGAACAGGGGTGTGAGACTCAGCTTGATGCCAGCATAGCAGGAAGTTATCAACTCAAGTAAGAATCTGAGGATGAAGGTTTTCCCATCATTCACGAGAAAAAGAGTATCACAAAATTTTTCTTTGGCTTTGGGAACCTTTGGGGATCTGGTCTACAAGCATACACTCATTTATTCATTTTATTGAGTAATTTATTTTAATTCCATTTAGCTGACAAATGCAATTTTGCTCAGGTAATGGGAAATACTGTTCTATAGGTAATGTAGATTAACTTCTAAAGGACAAAGGCCCTCAGATGGCTACCATAGCAGTTCAGTTGCACTCTTCCTGCCTCAGTGTTCTGAGCAACAAGGATTATATGCATGCATCACTGTTGTGTAATTTGGGTTATGCATTCATTTTGGGTATATTTGGAAGAAGATGATAAGGGAAAAGCACCAGTGTAGTAGTCTTAAGATTTCGCCATTTTGTAATGTTCATCTTGGAGTTGATATTTGAGGTTTTCCGAGGAATAATTTCCCCTTTGTGGGACTATTAGCTTATAAAACATTATTTCTTATGGTTGTCCACTCATCCTCTACATCCTTCTCAGTCACTGACCCTGATGCTGCAAATGTTGGTGCTGCACATGACCAAATGCATGCTGCACAAGAATGATTGCCTTGTCAAGACTGTCATCAGACAGGGAGATGGTGATCAACCAATGACCGTCAAGCACACTCCATTACAAATACACTGTCAGTGAAAAAGGCTTACATAATGTTTACAAACCCTAGTGTAAGCAATTGCTCAGAGAATGGTAGATATGTCAGTACACTAAAGTCCCCAACTAGGAGGTCAGCTTGGAAGGTAATGCTATTCCAGAGGGAATATGCCAGTTAGAAAGAGAACCCAATTTCAATACAAGGTGTCAAGTTTTACTTTGCTCTGGTTGAATAGAAGGTGAAAGGAGATCACACAATGTTTTTTACTTTACTTTATTTTTTTACATACCAATTCAAGTTCCCACTCCCTCTTCTCTTCTCATTCCCTCCACCTTCCCCAACTCCACTCCCTATCCACTCCTCAGAGAGGGTAAGGCACATTGCTTTGGGGAAGGTGCAATGCCCTCCCTACTATATCTAGGCTGAGCAAAGTATCCATCCAAAGAGAATGGGTTTCCAAAAAGCCAGTAGAAGGAGTAGGGGCAAATCTTGGTTTCACTGTCAGAGGCCCCGCAGTCTATCCCAGTCTTAGAATTGTCACCCACATGCAGAGGGACGAGTTTGTTCTGGTTCCTTCCCTGTCCAGCTGCTTTTTAAGTGTGCAATGAGTGACAACTAGTACTTATTGCTACATGCTAGCCAACAAAATCAAATACGACTTACTTCATACCCATCATTGAGATACAATACTCACATTTTGTTCCAACATCTCTCATTGAAAGATGCTAAAAATTCATTTTTACACTTGACTGCCAGAAGGTCTAAGACTGAGCAAAAAGTTCAGGATGGAAGGTTCTGAGTGGAGAGGATGAATCTAAAACTGATGCCTGAGTCCTTACGATGCTACTCAAAGTGTCTCCCCCGCCCCTCTTCTCACGATTGTAACAAACCCACCTCGCCTTGCTGTCTTGTGTCTTGATTTGGTGATTCACAGGTTTGACTCTGACTGTTGACCGGAGAGCTTCTCTTGGCTACAATGATGATAGAAAAATCCATCACCAATTTTATAATATCACAAGCTCATTTTATTACATAGGCTCATGACATTTTCAAATAAGAACAGTTTTTATAACATAATTACCCTGAAAGAAAATGTTAAATCATGTGTGATGAACTGAAATCAAATAGCTAATAAAAAAAGCAACTCTCAGGTTTTCAATGTAGATATTTATCTCTTTAATCTGATTTAGGAGGATGAGCTTTAGAACTTGGTAATAATAAAAATAAAACAGGTATGGCTGTCCCAATTTTACTGCATACCGAGTCCTGTCCTAAGTAGCTGACATATGCTAACTAATTTAATCTTTTTGGTCACCCTATTCTACCACTGCATTATTATATCAGTTTACAAACAAAAAACTCAGGCAACAGGAAGTTTAACTTGACATTTAATGGAAGATTCCAAGCCAGTCATCGGTGTCTCTGTCACCACTTTAGGACTAGGCAATTGTGGTAACTGCCAATCACCGTGGTAGTAGTGTCTGCCTTGGTTAGGTAGTGAAAACACAAGTTATTGCCAAGGTCTCCTTCTGGAATTGCTCTTTCTAGCCATGTTGTCTAGGTCATGACACTTAAGATGCTGAGCACCCTGTCAAGTTGCAGGCATCAGGGACAGAAGAAAAAAACCAACTCTCTGTGCTTCCATGAAGCCAAAGGAGAGGAAGGTAAATAGTCCGTGGGGCTGTCATGGAGGGTTTCTTAGAAATATTTAAAATTTGTTGAATGACCGTCAATATATAAATCCAAAGGAGAGAGATGCTGGAGTTGTAAATCTCTGGTACAGAACTGGGTGAACACGTATAAGACTCCAGGGTCAAGCTATGAAGGGCTATTGCATTTGTATAGGAAAACTATATCAAAAATTGAAAATTACATTTCTTTAACATATCATGAGGGTATGACATTTAAATGACAATTTGCTACACCTATGCATATTTTACTCTCAGTCTTATTTCTATTACTAACTAACCTAAAGTTTGTTTTTTTAAATAATCTTGCATTCATCTTACATTTTGTATTTAGCTGCTTGAATCCAAATTAGCTTCATTCCATACAGAGAATCTGAAGAGATTCAGTTATAGCACCTTTACTTATTTAGTTCCTTGATATTTAAAACTGTGATACAACTCTTGAATATATCTTTTAAAAGTTGACATATATGGTATATATATACATATACATATATATAGTGAGACTTGTGAACTACTCTTTATTATGTGAAAAAAATCAATTTCCTTTGAATGACTCTATTTGTCACAATAATAATCTTTTCAGACACATGCCTAATAAGAAACTCCATGGCTACAATGATTCCTTAATATATCAGATACTTGGAGAGTTTTGTTAGGTTATAGAGAAAAAGAACGGGAGAATTTGTTTGTGGTTTTCTTCCACTTATGGAGCTCATTTGCATACATAATCTTCCACCCTCTGCCTCCAAAAATAAGGAAACCATCTCCACACATGTGTATACATATGATTACAGCATATATGTTTTTATAGATTTTCTATATAATGTATTTATTATTGACACTAAAAGTAAGACTAAGAATAGAAGACTGGAGTTTACTAAGCATTTACTCTTTATGCACTTTCTCACTTACATTTATTAAGAATCCAGGTAAGGCGCTTAGTGTCTCTATTTTACATTGCTAGGAACACACACTCTGTTAAGTTGCATACATAGCAAGAGATGTGCATAGAGTGAAGGACACTTAGAGCTTATTGTACAGTTAAAAATTTACCATGCTGGGCTACTTCTACATCACTTCAACCACAGAATTCCAGTTTCTCAAGTAAAATACTTTGATATCAATAAAACACTATGAAGAGATCTCTAAGGACCCTCTACTTCATTTATCATAACCACAATTCAAAAGTAACTTTTATAATGATCTCTTACAATATGACAGTCATTCTTCTGATTATATATATATATACACACACACACATTTATATGTGTTTGTGCACATTTTATTCTTCACAACAATTCTATGAACACTATTAATATTTTAATCCCCATTTCTTAGATGAAGAAACAAAAGCACAATATAGTTAAATGACTTACCCAAAGTCACATGATCAAAAAATATGTGTCCCACGTGAGCATGTCTCATACCTAGGGCACCCAGATAACTTTCCAGAGAGACTTGCTTTTGATTATCTTCTTAAAGAAAAACCCTCCTACCATAATACCTATTGGGAGGTGACCTGCCTGGGCACTGGAGTCACGAACCTGTAATGATGCTCCTGATAGGCTTCACCAGGGCAGTAAAGCCAGAGACTTCTGGCTGTCTGTGCTCCCACATAGGCTGCCATATAACCAGCCCACTGGCCAGTCGGAAGGTGAGGTCAGATTCCTAGGGACAGAAAAAAAGGAGGTTCAGTAATTGGTTGCATCAGGGAATTTGTCACCTTGCACAGACCATTTTCAGAGGGACTTGCTCTGCCAAACACTCGAACGGATGTTTCTAACAAACAGATGATCCTGTTAGTACTACAGTCAGGATGGAAATTACAGTGGCCTGCTTTACGGAAAATGAGAAATTAATCAAATGTAGCTTTGGAAAAATCATGGAATACATAAATACTGCTTTGTTTGCAGTGAGGGAGATCTGTTTATTTCCATAGTCTTGGCAGATCTCTTAATGCTTGGTTAAAGTGTCATTCCTCTTAGTTACGTAATTGTCCTCATTTTTCCCTCAGAAGGTAATATCCTCACAGCCTGACCACTTTGACTTTTGGTCTCCAGTGCTTCTCTCTTTATTTCATGGAACTGGGTAAATATATTTTGATTCTTTAGAGTGGGTGATATCATAATGTTCTAACAATCCTAATTCTTCAAGGCAAGGACTAGTTGAAGAATACCCCCTTTCTTGCAGCTCCCAACACCACCACAGCACTTAATACAGATGGGGAATTGTGTGCAGAAAGATACCCAATAAATATTAATAATTAATAAATATTAAATTTGGTTTTTCAACCCATGCCTGTACAGTTATATGCAATGGAAAGCTCCATCCAGAAACACATTTGACGTGCCATTATTGCATCATAGAGACAAGTTTAGGCATTTAAAAATGCAGCCTCATATTATAGAGTTCAAACACATCATGAGATCACATCTTAAACATCTCAGCTTATCAAAAAAGTGAACATGGAAGCCGGGACTACAAACAGACTGGTGAACACATCTAGAGCAAGGGATTCATTTGGGACAGTATTTTGCAACTCTAACTTGTGTTATTGCAACTGCTTTGAGAAGTTTTAAGGCACAGAGGAGGCTCAGGTCTCATCTTGCTCTCATCCTCAGACCCATCAAATTAGAAACCCTGTGAGATTTTTTCAAAGTTCCCCCAAGGATCTTCTTAGGCAGCTATAGCTAAAAACCACTGAGCTAGAAGATAACAGCCAAGAGGGACTTTAAAGTTAGAAGAAAAGTGATTCAATGAAAGGTGAATCAAGTTCACTGAAAAATAAGAAACCTTCAGCTAAAGGAAGTTGATAAAATTCCCAAATGAAGGCCTGAAGAGAAAGCTGGCCTTCAAAAAGCACTTGCTGCTCTTCCAGAGGACCAAAGTTCAGTTCTCAGCATCCTTATTAGGCAGCTCACAGCCAGCCTGAAAACCCAGTTCCAGGAAATATGATACCCTTTTTTGGTTTCCAAGGGCACTACACCTATATACTTCACATACATACACTCAGGTGCACACACATAAAGTAAACAAATCACTTTTAAAATCCCCAGATAAATTCACATTGTCAGAGACTTGGGAGACTACATTTGATTTCTGTTGTGTTACGTAATAAATAACCCGACTAAAAGCAACCTAGAAGAGGAAAAGATTATTTATCTGTTATTGATGGAGAGTGAAGAAAGGAACTAGAAGTAGCTAGCCACATCACCTCCACAGGCAAGTCAAAGACAATAAACACAACCTTGCTTGCTTGCTTCCTCCTGTTTTACACAGTTCAGAATGCCCTAGCTGGAGAATGGTACTGCTCACCATAGGCTGGGCCTTCTTACATCATTGAACCATCAAAATAATTCCCCCACAGACATGCCCATAAGCCAACTAGATCCAGACAATTCCCCATCCTGACCATCAATATGTTCTCATTGGTTAAGCGGACATATTTCTACTTTCTCCAGATAATAGCATCTCAATTCAGAGTCTCTCCATTTTTGGACACCTGCTATACCTGTGTCGTATGTCAATGTGTTATTTTCAAAGTGTTTTTGTCACATTACAGAGGCCCTACCACCCTAATTACACCCCTTTGGTGGTTCTCTTTGTGTGCTATGTATGCAGACAACCAGAAACTTGGTCCCTGGAGAACACTTCTTAGAAATCATGTAAAAAGTTCAGAAGGAAGGCTCAAAGGATCCTGAGAAAACAAGCAGATGCATTCCCAGGCAGAATCTGTTTCTCCACCTTCTGGGTGCTTTTATCTGTTCTGCTGAGGTCTCACTCCTATGATAGCACTGAGAAATTGTATTAAATGGTCACCGAGCAGATTTCACTGAACAACTAGCATTTAAACAAAATTATATACTTCGCACATGATTTTGTTCAAGCCCATTTGCAGCCTTGCATTTTGCTTTATCTCCTGCTGTTTCTCTATGACTTTAAATAGTGCTTCATCTATGGTGGGCACCCAAGAAATATTCCTTCAAAGAATAAGTGCCAATACGAGAATCTGCACTAAATCAAATGTATTTTGTTTTCACTCATTATATTGAGTATAAAATTAATAATATGTTTGTCAGAATATCAAGATTAATTATTTAGGTAAAATATTAGAGTGAATTGTAAATTAAAAGCATGAATATGTCTTAAAATGAATAAGTAACTTATACGATTGCTGATTTGTAAATTAATTCATCTAATAAACATCTGTATTCTAAATACAGATACTGTGTTAGCTTCCACTGATGCAACTATAATTTCTAACTTCTTATCATTCACAAACTAGTAAGAGAAATACTTAGAAAAAGATTACAGTAAGCAAGTTAATTACAGCAATAAATGTGTTCCTACAGTATTACTGAGATAGAGATGAGCAAGTATAAATTCTGAGTAAAATCCTAAAGAATGACCAGGTGTTTTCTAGTCAGAGGGGTAGACAATGTAACCCTACCCCTAACATTCCTGGCAGCAGGACCTTCAAAGGGAAAAGCCTTGAAAAATCATGGCTAAACATCTAGAGCTCATAGAGAGAGGTGTACACACTGCAGAGGGTCCAAGACACCAGACCGAGGACTTTGACACACAGCACGAACACAAACCAGCAAATCATTGTTAGTATGTTCAATATAGTCAGATCTGCACTATATCAGCCACTTTAGTGTTGACTCCAGATTTTATGACACAAACCAGAAAACCAAATCCAGCTAGAAAGTAAGAGGCTCAAGTAAGAGATGCTAAAGGCTTAGGTCAGGTTAAGGCGATCGATAGGCATGGAGAAGTAATGAGAGTCTTTGCGGTCCAGCCCCAGGGCTCTCTCAGGGTTCAGAGGAAGCAGCAGCCAGCGAAGGATTCAGGAAATCTGAGGGCAAATGAATCTTCCTTCCGTGCTTTTCCGATTCAATTTCTTTATAGCTTTGCTTCTATTCTAATTCTCCTGTCCTACGTTTAGCTTCTTCTAGCTTCTTCCCAGGCTGCTTCTTCTCTTGCCTAACAACTCTCTCCCCCCACAGGAGCCTTGAAGCAATAAAGAAATCACAAGTTATATCATTGGTCAGAAGCACATTCCTAGAGCAAGCATTAAGGAACTGAGCCATTTACCATGGCAACTCAAGGGTCCAAGGTTACAGGACAAAGACCGTGACCAGAGGGCAGGGATTATGTGAGAAATCTGAGAAATATTTGCAAGGTAAAGTGATTCCTGGGATATATCAGGAGTGAGGGAGAAAGCAAAAGTAATTTTAAAAGTTAATGATGTGAAATACAGACCACATGATCACACTAGAGAAAACAAACTGCCCATGGTTTCTCTGCTTGGATCACTAACTTGAAATTAGTCTTGAGGCAAGAAGGAGTCTGACTTAAAGAGGCAGAAATAGGAGAGTGCAGCTTATAGGCACAGATGCCTCATGTCACTGGGAGGGGATCTTAAAGGAAAGCTATAGCAGCAGAGCTAAGGATGCAAGGAAAACAGCAAACAGCAACTGGTGCCATCTGGGCAATAGAACCTTGTCAGTTTCAAATATGGTTGAAGTATAACCAAGTGCAGACTGCAAAACAAGAATAAGTCCAATATTAGTTATTTATGGCCTGACTGGTAACTGCTCCAGCACAAAAGCTGGGGAAGACTTAGAAGGAAATCTGATGGACTGTGATTTTTGCTCAGCTAGTAACTGCTTGGATACTCAGGTTTGAGCTTTAGCTTCATGTCTGGAAAGATGGAAACAAAGATACAAACATGCCTGTGGGTGGATGGAAACATTTCAAGTCATGCAAGCGAAAGTTGTCAGTTGCGGACTAGAAGCGAGCACAGAGACTGAAGGCTGAATGGGAGTGGAGAGTACGGAAGCCTGGTCTCATGCTTTGACTAAACTTTGGTGTCCCTGTCATCTTACGTGAGAGAGTACATGTCTGTGCAAGTGCTGAGAGGGGCCTTGAAGCCATGTGGGCCGTCCACTAGGTCAGGGGACCGTGGTTTTGTAGAAGAAGCCTGGGGACGGCTATGTGTGTTCTCCAGCCACTTGTAGCTCTCTCAGACAGGGAGCGAAGAGATGGCCTTTGGTGTTGATTGGGGTTGGAGTTTGAAGAGTAAAGAATAGAAATAGTACTGGTAAGGGGAAGAAAGACCAGAGGAAGAAAACAGATTTCAACACAGTCCTATAGCTAGTAGGCAAATGAAAAGTCTAGGGTACTGTTCTCAGTCAAGTTCAACTCTCTACCACCCATAGAACTGGGGACATTTGGTGACCTCTGGAGATAATTGTGGCTGTCACAACTTAGGGAGGAGAGAGTGTGACCAACACTTAGCAGGTAGATGACCAAGATAGCACTAAATATTCTACAGGCCATGGTATAGTGTCCAACAAAGGGATCATTAGGTCCCAAATGCCAAAGGAATACTAATCAATAAATCTTACATCCCTTGCGACTTAGAAAAAAACCTACATCATCCTCAAACAGAGAAAGCCTTGCAGGCATATTACTGGGCTCAATAATTATATTTTTATAGTATCTTGCATAAACAACAATGAAAAATGATAGGGCAGTAATTATTCTAGTCAGATAGCTAATAACAGCTATTTACAATGTTTCTGTCACTCAAAGTGTCCTTATATACTGACTCCTTGGTAAGTGCTCCATTGCCAGGCTGCTGCTAAGCTTTGGAGGGCTACCAGGGAGCATTTCAACCCTGCCATATCTACTGAAGAGAACTTAGCACTTCTCTTCCAGTAGTATAGAATACTATTAGCAATAAAATACTGACATGCAAACAAAACGCCTTTTTAACGTCTTTCTGTGTTTTAGGTTAAATACTACAAATTGTTTAATCCTCAGAATGCTCTCAAATTTGTTCTTATGTCCAACTTATAGTTGATAAAATCTTAGGCTTAAAAATGAATTACTTAATATCATACAGCAGCCATTTCCAGGCACTGAACTCAAAATGTAATGTCGTTGGTTTTCAAGAGCTGAACTCTCAGCCATGTCTTCCAAATAACATCATTATAGTTATTCTGGGATCACCTATTTTTCCAATTCAGATGTTATTTGCTGACATGCGGACATCTCCACAGGCTGTTTTAAGGGAACCATTTCCCTTGTCTTCTTCATATTTAAGGACTATGTATCACGTAGGATGGCTGTCTCGGGATCTGATAACATCTTGAGTTTTCTCAGTGAGTCCGTAAAAGAACATTTAGTGAGAGCCATGCACACATCAGCTGGGACACAGGACAACAGCAGCCCTCCCTTTAGAACCTCTGTTCAAGTGAGAGTAATGAGCTCTAAAGATGTTCTCCAACAGCTATGATCATTCCTGGTAGTGACAGTTGCTAAGGAAAACACAGGGTGAAAAACCAGTGGTGAAAAGCAGTGGAGGAACTTTCCTCTGTGGTGACATGTGACAACGCCTTAATCAACAAGAAATCCATGGCTACGTGAGAATGTGAAGGGAGAGGGCAGGAGTAAATGCTTCAAAGACCTGAACCTAAGAATGGGTTTGCGGAGTTTGCAGATGAGCCTACAGTAATGATGAAGGTTAGTGGACATGAAAGGAAATGAGGCTGAAGAGGTGAGCAGGGGCCCGGACATACAGATCCCAGAAGCAAATGAATTGTCTCAGTTGAAGAGCTGCTTTCCCTTCAGTGACTCTTATAATAAAAGACTTTCAGTAGTTGAAAGTTAAAAAAAAATTACTGTGCTTCATAATGCTTTTTTTTTTTTTAAAAAACTGAAGTTGATACTAGTCCCCTCCTTCATAGTAATTGTTAATGGTTCTAGCCACCTTCATCTATTTATTGCTGTCTGGCATATCTACTCATTAGGGTTATAATACTGAAGAACAGCTAAGCACATGAATAGCTTCTTATCTCTCATCTTGGTACTAAAATGGAATATGATGTGCAAGGCCTCACATATATTTAACAGTGTTGGAGGTATCCACGACTTTACAAATGAGAGATGAGACAAAATGATATAACTAGATTCATATATCTAGAAAGTTATCATGCTCACTATAACATACAACTCTGTGTTTCCTATTTTATGCAGAGCAAACAGCAAGAGCACTTTCGTCGAATGACTCCTATAACTCCCACAGATGAACCCTTAGATGACCAGTAGAAGCTAACAGCTAACAAAGCAAGAAAAGAATTTAAGCTGTAGATCATATCTGAATGTATCTAGCACATTTAATTTGGGGAGCATTGCATGTGAGCACACTGAAGATTTTTTGAGTACATAAAGGATATATGGAAGTTTGCATTTTTTAAGTAAAATTCAGTGTTTAAGGTAGAACTAAAAGTTCTCAAGCTGTTGCAAGATCACGCAAAGACACGGGCAGACAAATACTGAAGCATTCTTTGAAGGCCACTCTCAGGCCTGTGTATCCCACCCCACACCTAACATTAGCTTCCTACTTACCTTTATCCTGTGCACAAGAGGAGCAAACAGAAACACAAAGAGCTCCACCGTAGCCATGGAATTCTGGAATATCTTCCTTCTGCTGCTCTCCTCCTCATCGTTGGAGCTACTTCGGCGAGGCTGCCCCGGAGAACCCTGATTTTCAATCTGGTGGATGAAAGCACTGCTGCCGCCACCCCAGCTGGAACCTCGCTCTGTACCCCCAAACTGATCACTGTTGCAGTCCTGTGGGGCCTCTAGAAGCATCCAGTGCAGGGTATGGAGGAGTTTTGTCTCAGCAACACCCAGCTTATCCTGGTGGCCTGCATGAGACAACCACACAGCCAGGTGAGGGCAAATTCTGCAGCCAGAACAGTGATGAGACCCTTTGTTCTGGAAGAGCATCTCATCTTCTCTCTGTAACTCCATTTCCCAGGAGACATTAGCAACTCTCCAAACTTCAAGCAAATACTGATTTATAAGGCTCATTGCCACTTGGGGCTCTTACTGACTAGGATTTCTGTAGAACAGCGTGCTACCGTATTTTATCAGTCAGATTTCTAGGTGAATGCTTTCCCAAACAAGCCTCCCTTATCATGAAGAAAAGTTAGACAGTAAAGACAAAAAAGCACCAAAAAAAAACCCATTCTATTTTAGACCTGGTCTGGAAAGGTCCCTGTAACATCAAAGTAGAGACAAGCAAAGAGAGAGAATGAGATGAAGGTTGGGTATTCTAACATGGGAAAAATGGTTAGGACATATTACTAGAAGAGAAAAGCAATTTGCAAGATAATTATTATCTGTCTGTCCTGTCTGTCTGTCTGCCTGCCTGCCTGCTTTAGGACAGTGGTTCTCAACCTGTGGGTTGCAACCCTCTTGGCAAACCCATCTCCAAAAATATTTACAATTCATGACAGTATCAAAATTAGAGTTATGAAGTATCAGTGAAAATAATTTTATAGTTGCAGGTCACCACAACATGTGGCAAATGGTCGAATTAGGAAGGTTGAGAACCACTGCTCTCGGAGACTATGCCAAGCTCATGAATACAGTAGCATTAGGCATTGAGAGGATAAATGGTCAACCACAGGCTGGGTCAGAATCTTTAACCCACCTGATGCTATGATGCTATTGTAATGTTTAAGTGGAGAGGGTGAGAGTACATTCATATAGACAAAGCTTAAGAAACAATGGCAATGATGATGGTATTGATAGGAAAGAAACTCGACGATAATTACATAAGATAATGTGCGCAAAATGCCTGGGACGGGAGGAACTACTTAACACGTGTTCTTGTATACATGGCACATAAAGGACAACGTAATTCAGCAATACTATAGCACCCACCTAGCTTGTTCCTGTTTGAGAGCAGGGTCGCAGTGCAGTGAAGAACATGAGGGAGGGCGGCCTGCACCAGCTCCCATCTGGAAATGCTCTGGATGGCTTCCGAGAGGGCCGGGGAGAGGCCATGCAGTTTGTTTTCTACCAACACTCGTTCAAACGACTGCAGAGTTCAAATTTTAGGGAGCATACAAAATAAAGAATTGGAGACTATTAAAAATTAATGCTAAAATACTATATCACCTAAAAGATAATCACAGAGCTCAACTTGTTTTTTTGGTGGGGGAGGGGAGACACACCTATTCTTGCCAAGAGTATACTGACCTACAGTCATTCAGCCATAGGTCATCGTTAACTGCTAACTTTCAGGCTTTGGACCTGAAATTTATGCTATATGGTCTGAAGTGATTTGGGTTTTTGCTGTTTTGTTTTGTTCTTGATTATATTTTGGTTTTCATTTGGTTTTGTTGTTGCTGAGTAGCCAAAGTGGCTGCCACAACTCTAGACCAAAATGAGATGAGTTTTATAAAAGTATCTTAAGGAACGGAATTTATGTCAGTGTCCTCAACAGGTGTTAACTGAAGTACAAGATTATTTCAAAAAATTTGACTTGGGGGCCAATGACTCATTTAATCTTCAAAGCAATGATGCAACAAATGTTGCTTATGTTTTACTAAATTATTAACTTTTCTGTCATTGCCACATAGGTGTTTAAAGAGAAAAGAAAACTACAGAAAGACAAGTTTGATCCTTTGTTTTTGTTTGTGTGTTGTTGTTGTTGTTAAGGGCAGAGAATGTCTGCACAAGGTACCAACCAGCTTTTAGAACAAAGCTAATGCAGATTTAACTTGTATGAACATGATTCATGCTTAAGTGCTCTAAATGGTCTATGCATCTGTGCAATATGTAACATAAGCCCTGCATATTCTAGCTGTATTGTTGCAATTATTAAGATATTTTGGCAAAGTGATTTCTATTACAGGGATTATCTAATGAGAACTATTTCCTTTCCAACTCGAAAGAAAAAAAAAGAAAAAAGAAACTCATTTTGGAAATGAAAAGTACATAGATATGTCAAAGAACATAAATTACTTACTTTCATAATCTCAATGAACTGAGTATTTATTGTTATTCCTTCTTAAACGTTGCTTATGTAACTTTAAAAACTTTTGAAACTCTGAAGCTGTGTCCCACATTGGCATCTATTTACCTCATTCCCCCCTTGCTTACTTATCCATGCATGAAACCTAACTACTTGATATTTTGTGAGGACCTTAGACACCTCAGACACATGCTTACGAAGAGCAGAGAATAGCCATGGTTATCGGAAGCTAAAGTGTCAGCATGGTAGAAAGGAAGGGCGTGAAGACTTAAAGCGTCAAGTTGTTGTAATGATTCAGATACAAGAAATCCCACTAATACTGACAAAGAAGGAAAGTTTGAAAGTATCTTCGTGATAATCCTATAAAGCCAATGCCTCCAAGTGTGTGTGCCTGTGTGTTTGTGTGTGTGCATGTGCATGCACATGTGTCTTTAACTCTCCACTTGGCGTGCACCATAAATTGTGGATCTTACACTTCAGAAGTCCTTTCTAGAGCATCATCCACACAGCTGTTTACAAATACATTTGGCAGCATGGAAGTATACAGCTTCCCACTTTCCCACTATACTATACATGATCTAAATCCATCTGTGGAGCTCTTAAGACCCATTTCACTTTTGCTTCATGAGTTTGTGCCTTATTTTCTCAGTTTGCAAAACAGGTCTTCTACGACTATGGGATGCCTTGAGAACCGCAGGTCAAATTCACTTCATTCTGTATAAATATTAATAGCAGGATTTTCAGGATGATTTTAGACTGTTTGCTTCCAGACCGGCACAATGTGTGCAACACATAAAAGTACAGAGTTGCTTAAGTTATTTAAGTACTCCACAGTCGTTCATTGTATGAATAAGCAGCCCACAGTGGTCTCTGTTTTGTTGATTACTGAGTTGACTTTTCAGTCTTCCCTGAAAGACTCCCCTGGGCCTAGTTCTACTCTCTCTGCCTTCTCTTCTACCGCCCCCTCAATCCCACCCACTCCTCTAGTTTATTTTCACTTGATGCTGAGGTCCTTTGTCGTTCTGCTCTCCTCTCAAGATGGCACTCCTTCCTTCATCCCTTGTATCTGCCCAAGCATCACATTAGTAATTAAGCTGTATACCGTGCCCACCAACTGCCTATGAATAAAATACCTACCACAGCTTCTTCTAATATGCATTGCTACTTTTCTCCACGATGTACATCACCATCTATCTGATTATGTATTTTATGTATATATTCAGCTGTGGGTCTTTCTGCCTCATGTTAGGATGTAAACGCTGTGTTTTGTTTATCTTTTTACCCTATCCCAAGAGCAGAACTGTGCCTGGTTCAGGGAAAATGCTCACTAATATTTGTCAATTGAATTAACTAGTGGAGTTAATATGATTTCGTCTTTGCTTGGGTTAAATCATCACACAGACTATGGAAATAATCATTAAATGGTGAGAATCACATACCACACAAGAGGCTTCATATTGCTTCCCCAGCTTAGGCCTCAAAAATGCACTGAAAAATTAGTAAAGGTTTTTGTTATAAACATGAGCAAAACTATTTTTAAGCATCTTTATATTATATTTTTAATAAATAGGGCATGGTGCTACGAAACTCAAATTTCCTGTTTCCTCATAGCTTATTAATGAGCAGCCGTTGGACAGCTGACGACATTTGCTTTTACACATTAATTACATACATGAAAAAGACGTGGCTCTTTGCCATTTCCCATACCACTCTTATTTTGAATCGGACTGTATATCGTCAATGGTCAGAAGAGGTGACTTCCCCTTGCGTGTTTTTATCTTAAAAACTGAAAAATGAGCACAGATGTGGGTCATGATTCCCAGCATCTATTTTCATGTGTACTCAGTCACTAAAATAACAAGAAAGCCCTTTACTGTTCATGGCATGGGTCTCAGGCCCGGCCAGGTGAGATAAATCTATCAAAAATCACTCTGCTCAGGGGCTTTAATCATGAAGACGACATTGGCTGAATCCAAGTAAATATGGTTAACAAGTGGGCACAGTAGGTATGTCAAACACGCTAGAAAACAACAGGTCACCAGGCAGGGATTACAGCAAGAGACAGAGGGGGGAACCAGTCCCAATTACCTTCCTAGTTCCCCGCCCCCTCTGCCCAGGTTCTCTACCCTCCCACCCCCTCGGTAATGAATATATATTTATTCGAAAACTATCAATCTGCTTGTTGTCAAACTTCAGTGAGATTTTTTTTTTTTTTAATGCGTGCTTTTAAGTGGGTGCTGAGGGCTCGCTTTCTACCCCGGAGACGTTACTAGCTGCAGGCTGCGGCGCGGCCTCGGTGGCACGGTGGTTGCGGTGGAGACGACCCGGCGACCCCCCGAGCGCCCCCAGCCCGGCGCCCCTCACCTGGTTTGCCGCCACAGGAAGGTCTGGATGGGCAGCGGGATGCCGCGGCCGCCGTCCTGCTCCTGGCCCTCGGAGCTCTTCCTCTTCACCATGATGGTGGCTCCCGGGAGTCCTACCGCAGAACCCAGCGCGGGCTCCTCGCCGGCCGCCGCCGCCGCCTCCTCCTCGTCGCGCTGCTCCCCCCAGCTCTCATCCCCTCCTTCCCCGAGGCAGAGACGGCTCTCCTCGCCGCCGGCCCCCGGCGCTCGCCCCTTCCCCCAGCCCTCCCCGCGCGCGGAACATGGCTGATGGAGGAGGGGAGGGCCGGAGGAGCGGCGCGGCGCGGAGGGGGGCGCCCGGA